AGATAGATAGATAGATAGATAGATAGATAATATATTTTCTGTTTATACGTTATTTTTATAGATACATTTTATTTAAGTAAACCCTTTATTTTTAATTAAACAGTACTAATTACATTTACCGACCTGAATGTTCGAGAAATTTCTTAGAAAATATACGTTCTTCAACAGAAATCGAACCAATTTCTTATATGGAAACCTTCATTTGATCTGACGTTCTATATTATTTAGCTACAGAGAAGAGTCTTGATGGAACGCATATTTTCTACGAAATATCTCGAAATTATTTCGCAGAAATTAACCCATTTTTAAAGATCACTTTAGAATATAATCAACATTATTTGCGTAGCCCCCCAAAAAAGATGAGAATTAAGTTTGTCTACGAGTGTCAGCAGTAGTAAGCTAGCTTTTCATTTGGTCGACTGCTTCAATTTATACGCACACATAAATTAACATACATCCATGCCACACACATTTTCACACTAAATACATATTTTTGTTTCTAGATATACAAAAGTATTTTTGTGAATTGTTTCGCAAAGAATCTTTGTAATTCATTTCTTTCAATTTGAAAGAAAAATTATTCCAAATAATAAAAAATATTTAGAGCCGTGCTGAAGATTTGCTTATTTATTCGTTTTATACAAGTGTAATCCACACACACATACATACACGCACGAACACACACACACACACACACACACACACACATATATATATATATATATATATATATATATATATATAAAACGCACAACCTTAAAATTTAAATTCAAACTTAGCGTTGCGACCGCACGTTCCAAAACAATAACACATTTCTCATAGCATTTTTTCGGATTACATCTCTATTTTCGTTGTCCTCTTATTACCGAGAAGTAAAAACAAGAACAAAATCTATTTCCATACCTGAGGATGTCTGTAGGAACAGCCGAAAGCTTGTAAAAAATTAAAAAGACCTTATGCAACTGGAATTTATGAACAGGGATCATATCATTCATATACAGGTTCGGGGTTGGTGTATCTTATTTATATTGTTGCGAAGATGTATTTCGCCATTTAAATCATTAACCTCTATATTTGTTTTTTGTAAGAATGATTCATGAATTTATAAATTATAATTGCACCTTTTAATTGAAATTAAATATATATATATATATATATATATATATATATATATATATATATATATAGTTTTTTAATTCATTTTTTTCTTAATGTGTTTTTTAAATATAGTATTTAACTCATATTAAATCCCTAAATTTGTAAAAGTGTTAAATATTTAAATTGCTAGCAAGCATCAAATTAATTTCTTCGTGGATTTTTTAAACATTTAAATTACTCTCAAGCGTTAAAATATGTTTTTGTTTTTTTACAGAAATTGCTAAAACTATACCACCCCTCTTCTTCCTTCGTAAACGCTAAATACATCTTTTTGTTTACTTCCCCTTTCTTTCTTTTTTCTTTTTCTTTTACTCTCTTCTCACCTTCCCTTCCAAAATATTATTTCCGTTAAGTTAATCGATTAAATAGGTCAATATCTGGTCCCTCCTCCCACAATATTAAGTCTGATAGAAAGAAATATTAAAATAAACCCTCTCTAAAGTCGACCATGTCTCTCACACCACTCCTCGCTACCCTCTCTGTTAAATTACATAAACTTAATACTACCCGTCAAAAGTGTAAATTTTCATTTCATTTTTCGTTTCAACTTTTTGGAAGTGATGTCTGAGGATCCCAGCGTCCTTTAAAAGGTCTCTGGTTAAATAAACTATTACAATGGAACCTTAAAGTGGTCTGTTTTTCTTTCATATATATATATATATATATATATATATGCACTCACATTGTTTATCAACGTTTGGAACAACTGTCACTTTCTTGGATGTGACAATCGTCAGGCACGATAAATAAACGTATATTTATAATTAGTATAACTTTTAGCTCTGTTATTTTACGTCGAGCACTTTTTATTAACACCGGCACTGAATGTACGCTATTTCATATATCGTAGGTAACTTGTAGATCATAGTAATTTCAATGCAAATTTCTCATATATATATATATATATTTTTTTGTCAAATTGAACTGAATTGTATTTTAATGAATATTGTCTTGAAAAAGGTTTATTAAACCGAAACGTCAGACGTCGACATTTCATTCATTTTAAACAACATAATTGCATTTAAGGATTTTTGTTTGTTTTTTCCAAAATTTCTTAATTCTGTCGTTTTTATATCCATTTACATTTGCTTATATATATATATATATATATATATATATATATATATATGTGTGTGTGTGTGTGTGTGTGTGTGTGTGTGTGTGTGTGTGTGTGTGTGTGTGCAATTTTTCAGATAGATTGTATCTGTAGAGGGACAAAATTAATATAAAAGACGAGGAAAACTATTCTTAGCAGATGCGTTTCGTTAGCTGAAGAAATTCATCAATATAAATGTAAGGATTTATTTCGTGACACGTGTTTATATACAAGAGCATGTGTGCCATTGGTTTAAAAAAGCTTTTAAATTTAGGAACATCCTTGAATATTCATCAGCTGGTTGAAAGATCAATCAAAACATGCGAGGACATAAAGTGGCATAATTCAAAGTCTGGTAAAACGAAAGTAAGCAAGTAATATTCAATAAATTATATAAATTATACCTGGGGGGCTTGTTTCGGCAAATAATTGGAGATTCGTCTCCAGCTGTGTCGGTCGAACTCTCTGCTTTCGGGTAGAGAGGAGCCCAGACGAGGCTATGCTGAAGGGCAAAATCTCGTCTGTGGTGTTAGACACCTACCCGACCCCGTGTATACAGGGTCTACGGGGAATTTTTGTCCGAGCCTCTTTAAGGATACAACATAAAACGAATTATAGGTTTTGCCAATATTCATAATAAGTAAAATCACATCTCCAACATTTCCAAATGCAACAAAAAGGGGTGGCAATGTAACTAAAAGAATTAATTATATAACCAAGGTGCTAACCTTCCGACGTAACCCATCGATATCAGTAGACAACCCACGTTGCTTCAGGAATTACTAGCCTGCCACCCGATTCCCTGTCTATCAGTATTGTATTCACTTTTACAATAAACCTCTCTTCTTTCATCTACGCGCGTGTTGCTGTTCCTTCACTCGAACAGCACCTTTGTTTGAAACCTCTAAGGATACAACACAATCCATTTATAATGAAAAGTGATGGGACCTAACCGACAATCTAGTAATACGCTAAAATTCATAGAGTCTAGGCCCCATAGAGGAAAATTGTCTTTTGTTTATTTATTTTTGTTATTTTTTTTTTGTTTGTTTTTTAAAGTTGTGGCCGCATTTTTGTTCAGGTTCCTGTTCGTTTAGCTACCTTTTTCGAAGATATCGAGTTTTTTTTTTCAGTGTGCACTTTTTTGGTAACCCCGTATTACAGAACCAGTCTTGACATGCAGTAATTTGATTGCTGCGAGTAAGCAAACCAAACTATGGTTGTAGTTTTTTTTATTATTATTATTGTAGTTAAAGTAAACGTCGGGTGCCTTCTCTTCTTCATTGGTACAATCGGTAAATGTCCGATTTTTGGATTGGTGCATGCGATGCATTTTGAGAAGCCTTTGTATTTTGGCATCGACTCTGTTTATCTCGGAAATGGACAAATTATTAATATTGAAGCTGTATGCAATTATTGGCATGGTTGGTAAGTTTATGGATTCAATTTTGTTTCTGGCATTCATCTCTGTTTTCAGAATCGCCCGCTGTTTGCAATAGCGCTTCTTTCGTCATATTTCTCTCTTTAATGAGTATTTAGTTACATCTACTTGTAAAACACCAACGTACTTACCCTCGGGTTCTTATTCTTTTATTTCACTATCATTACCACGGATGATATTGTGTGTGCTCGAATGTTTTACCTTGTGAAATGTGGGCGTGGCACATTTTTCAAGCCCAAATTCCATTTTGATATCCTCAATTAATTATTTGACTGCTCCAAGGAGGATTTCCAGTTGATTATCATCTTTTACAAAAAGTCTCAGTTCGTCCATATATAAAGAAGATACTTTTTTCATACACTTTGTATCGATATTCCCAAGCTGGCTTAGGGAAATCAGTGTCAAAAAAGAACACAATCCTAACGCGCCTGGTCCACACACCATCACCGTCTGTTGAACAGGGTTAGAGGTTTCTCTATTCCCTGTTTAAGATTGGATTTTTGGTTCCTTCTTTATTAATTCTTCTATTGCATTTCAAGTTCCTTCTAAAGTCTTTTAATTCTCTTTCATTCTCAGTAACCTCTTGCGTCTTAGTGACCTTATCAACTTGCTTGGGGTGAAATGATTGAAAACAAGAGGATCTACTGAGTCTCTTTGAAAGATTTCACATTTGATGTTGACTCCAAATATAATAATCATAAATTCTTAAATTTATGATTATTATATTTGGAGTTTGCTTGTTTGTTTTACAAGTGATATCCAAGATTAAAGCAGTAAGACTGCAAGTTTCTGGTTATTGGTAGAATTCATTGGAAATATAGCTAACATTACCAGGAATCCCTTCAGTGAGCCTATCGGAACTTTTTCTAATCAATTCGAGGGTTCCAACTACAACTGGAATTATTGATGTCCACATCCGACATATTTTTGACATCTCCACTTCAAGATCCTTGTATTTTGATATTTTTTGAAGATCTTCAAAGATGCATTACAATCTGTAGAGACTTCCATGTTAATAAGAAAGGACATTAAGTATTTGTGGTCTTTGGTCATTATGTCTAGGCAATTAACTGTTAATTGTTCTGTTTGTGTGCATTGTAAAGTCCCATAAAATGCTATAGGTCTTATCTCTATAACCGGGTCTGGGTGAGGTTCATACCAGTTTAATGAAGTTTCCTTCCCGTAAAAGTTGCAGATATTCCAGTACAGTCCACCCTGTCATGCAAAAATCTATATTCATTTTTCTTTCCTTTTTTTCTTCATTTATTTGTTTTTCTTTTATTTTTTATTTTATTCTTCATTTAGTTTTACTTCTTTTTCATTACTTTTATTCTTTTCTTTTTCTTTCATCTTTCCTGTCATTTTTAATTTATTTTTCTTCTTTTTTTCTTTCCTGTCATTTTTAATTTATTTTTCTTCTTTTTTTCTTTCCTGTCATTTTTCATTTATCTTTCTACCTTTCCTTCTTTTCATTCGTCATTTATTTTTCTTCTTTTTTCTTCTTTTTATTCGTCATTTATTTTTCTTCTTTTTTCTTCTTTTTATTCGTCATTTATTTTACTTCTTTTTCCTTCCATTTGTTTTTCATTTATTTTACTTTTATCATTCCTTAAATTCTTCATTTATTTTTTCTTCTTTTTTCCTCCTTTTATTCTTCATTTATTTTCTTCTTCTTCTTCTTCTTCTTCTTCCTTCCTTCCTTCCTTCCTTCCTACATTCAGTCTTCCTTCCTTCCTTCCTTCCTTCATTCATTCAGTCTTCCTTCCTTCCTTCCTTCCTTCCTTCCTACATTCAGTCTTCCTTCCTTCCTTCCTTCATTCATTCATTCAGTCTTCCTTCCTTCCTTCCTTCCTTCATTCATTGTCTTCCTTCCTTCCTTCCTTCATTCATTCATTCAGTCTTCCTTCCTTCCTTCATTCATTCATTCAGTCAGTCTTCCTTCCTTCCTTCCTTCATTCATTCATTCAGTCTTCCTTCCTTCCTTCCTTCCTTCCTTCCTTCATTCATTCATTCAGTCTTCCTTCCTTCCTTCCTTCCTTCCTTCCTTCCTCTTATTCTTCATTTATTTGTTTTCTTTTATTCTTACTTTCATTCTTCATTTGTTTTTCTTCTTTTTAATTCCTATCTTTCTTCACTTATTTTTCTACTTTTTCTTTCCTTTTATTCTTTATTTATTTTTCTCTTTTTAATTCCTTTTATTTTTCATTTATTTGTTTTTCTTATATCCTTCCATTCATTCGCCATTTTTCCTTTCATTTTTCATTTATTTTATTTCTTTTTCCCTTATTTTCATTCGTCATTCATTTTTCTTATTTTTCCTTCCTATGATTTTTCATTTAATTTTTCTTCTCAGACTTCAATTATCATTCCCTCTTTTTTCTTCTAATCATTCAATTATGTTGCTTCATTTTCCTTCATATTATCCTTCGTTTGTTTTTTCTTATCGATTCCTTCTTTTTCCTCTTCTTTTATTTTTCTTTCTTTTCTTCATTAATACCATCCTTCTGTTATTTTTCCCCTTCATTGACTTTTCTTTCCTTTCACATTTCAGCTCCCTTTTTTCTTTCGTATCATTCTTCATTTATTTTTCTGTACACTTCTTTTTAGTTTTCTTCATTAACTGTCATACTACATTTATTTTTCTTCTTATCATCCATCATTTATTTTTTCCTTTGTTTTCTTCCGATCATAATTCCTTTCTTTATCTCTTTCCTATCATACTTCATTTATTATCCTGCATTTTTCTTCCATATTATCCTTCATATTTTTCCTTTTTCCTTCCTGTCATTCTCTATTGTTTCTTTTTTTTTTTCGTTCCTATCATACTTCCTTTACTCTTTTTTCTTTCACATTATACTTAATTTATTTTTCCTTTTTTCTTCTTCTTCTTATCATACTTATTTATTATATTATCGTTCATTTATTCTTATTCTTTCTGGTCATGATACATTTCTTCTTCACCTTCTTTATTCTTAATTTTTCCTTCATTTCCTTCATTTTCCTTCTTATCACTTTTCGTGTATTTTTCTCTTTTTGATTTCCTACCATTCTCCATTTTTCTTCCTACGTTATTTTTCTTCTATTCATGTTTCTTCCTAAAATCTTTCAATTCCTTTTCTTCGTTTTTCTTTCCTGTCATTTTTCATTCATCAAAATTTTCCTTCTTATCACGCTTCAATTATTTTCTATTTTATTTCCTTCGATATTTTCCCAATTGTCTTTCTACATTTTCTCCTTCCCTTGGAAGCCTCCATGGAAGAATTACTCGTCGTCTGTTCGTTGGTTCAAATATTTGCCTGTTATTGTAAACTTACCCAACTAAGGTAGGCTTCGTAATAAGAGAAGCACTTTGTCGGGTTCTGGTCAACGAATACCGATTTCGTATTCTTGCAGAGCGTTAATGTAGTTATGGAACAAAGAGAACGTTTTGGCGGGATTATGAAGATGGATTATAAGAATGGCAAGTAAGTGAGGTCGGACAAACAAGAAAAGATGAACACACTCCTTTTGAGGAGAAAAATATGATTTCCTCTTCAAATGGTAAAGATAATACTAGCCGTTTCCCTATTCATTGACGAGTGCTACTTTCGGTTGAAATTTATTAAAATCTTTCTCTTTGTTCAGGGAAATACTTTTTCAAGCCTGCTCTTTCCGATATTGATGGGGGTTTCCTTTCTAACCTTTTGTTTGAAGTAGTGTGGAATATCAACATTTTATGTCATTATCTTCTCTTCGAGTTACACGTGCTATTCATTTTAGTTGTTGTTGCAGTTGAAAGCCCTTAAATGATGTGATTTCTGTTATTTCATACAATTATTTGTTTGTGATTGTGTAACGTCATTTGACTAGGTTCGAAGAAGTATAGTCCTCACAAAGACCCATAGCCTCACTCGTTCGAAACCATTTTAATTATTGATCTGAGAAAGCGGTTTTATACAGCTGATGGTTTAGAAATTTCTGAATTAATTTAGTGCTAGGCGTGACATTCATATGATAGATGACCTTGAAAAAGCAAGAAAAGGAAGAACTCTGACGCTGGGTTGAAAAAAAAGTTTACACACAAGTATCTGACGGAGGCACGGTGGAGTATTGGATAGCGGCTCGGATTGAGAAAAAGGAGAGCCGAGTTCGAATTGCAGTCGAAATCGTTACATTGAATTACATGCTAATAGGCATGAATCCTCTTCGCTCCAAGCTATAGGTAAATAGTAGGATAACAACTGGTCTACCGCAGAAAGAAATGGCAAAACAATCTGCCTAGTTGAAAGATACATAGTCGCCTAAGCGTGTATCACGCTTTTTGACCGAGGTCAAACCAAAATATCCACAAGATGGGTTTATATCGTTAAAGGTTCAAACGGAAAACACATCTTATTATATTATTGTTCATTTATTTTTATTTCTTCCTGTCATGATACATTTCTTTTTCACCTTCTTTATTCTTAATCTTTCTTCTTATCATCCATCATTTATTTTTTCCTTTGTTTTCTTCCTTTTATAATTCCTTTCTTTTTCTCTTTCCTATCATATATCACTTATTATCCTACGTTTTTCTTCCATATTATCCTTCATAGCTTATAACTTACCCAACTCTCTTTTTAATAGTATTTTTCCCATACTTTCTAACTCATTGCGCCTTAGTGGCTTTATCACCTTGACTTGTGCCAACAGTGTTTCTTGATTCTCCCCTATGCTCTAAAGAAGGCTTATACGCAGCATCGGGGATGATGGTTTCTAACTATTCGATGTGCAAATCAGGTCTTTTTTAATATCAGCCAAAGTGTCGATATTCCACCAACCCTTTTTCTTTTAGGGCAATGGGGAAGGTGTTGCCGCAAGTTTGGAATCTCCGGGACCAGGTATTTTTTTCTATTGATTAATAAGGAGAACATATACTACGAACTGATCCTGGGATACCAACATCCCCACGAGGGCAGGATGTGACACAATGTCGTTTTAATGTGGGGTGGCATCGGCCAATCTACTGTCATGCTGGCCTTTGGTATTTCATCGACACCACTTTTCTTAGTCCAATGAAGAAGGTGTTGCCACAGTTTTAGAATTCCAGGAAACAGGCGCCTCTTCCACTATAGAATGAGACCATAGTCTACACATTAATTCTGGTCCTAAAACCGAGCAGTGATAGTAAATAAAGTAACCTAATCAACGGGGTGCAGAACTAATTTCAACTCTGAGATGAAATTCATTCTTCCATTCAGTCGTTTGGCGTGTAGATTATTTTTATACTGTGTACGTGTGGGCTGTCGAATGAATGGAAGAATTTATTTAAACTCGGAAGTTGAAATTAGTTTTGTCACCCTAATAAACTGCTAAGTCTGCCGCTGGGAAAATTGTTTTATCGTGGCGTTCAAGAAAAATTTTACTCGGCAGAAACTATTTTACACCTTGATAAGTTTACCATTCGTCCATACATTGAATATTGCTGCCATATCTCGTTTGTAGCATCTGCTATGTACCTAGCGATTCTTGTTAAAATCCTAAGAAGAAACTGCAATTTTATCAGTCTAGCTATAATCACTTTCCCACCGCTATAATATGGCATCCTGGTATCTTTTCTATAGATATTTTCATGGTAATTTTTCTAATGAGCTTTCCTCTTTATTACCACGACTTTACGAATTTAAGCGCAGTGCTAGATTGGTAACAAGGTGCAATCATTTTACAATTGAAATGGCTAGATGTAACCGTAAGTTCTATGTTAGCAGTTTCTTCTCTCGCACTTCTCGCTAGGTGAAATCTCTTCCGGCTTCTTGCTTTCCAGTCAACTTTGCTCTTCAAAATTTAAGTACAATATCAATCGTTATCTTTTGTTTTCTTAATTCTCGTTCTTTTACTGTTCTCTCTCTTTAATAGTATTTTTCCCATACTTTCTAACTCATTGCGCCTTAGTGGCTTTATCACCTTGCTTTGGGGTAAAATGATTAAAAAAAGTAATGGCCAGAGTTTGAAACTCAGTTGTTATCGTATGACAGAGAGTTGATTGATTGATTGATTGATTCGTTTTTACGGCTTATCGACCCTTTGCAGGTTATTTAAAGCCAGAAAATATTTTTAGATTGTAAGTTATTTTTTTAGACAATAATGGTTTAGTAATACAACTCCTACTAATTAACCCCTAGCTGGAGGAAGAAGATATGGATTCATACCTAATTAGAATTTGACAAGAAATTAAAATGTGAATGTAAAGTGGGGGTTAATTCTATATTACAATCAGTATATAAACTGATCCCTCACTTTTTTGTCCATGATAGTTCCTATATATTTGTATTCCAGAGAATGTAAATAAATCTAAAAGACATACCTACCTGCCTAGCTAATCAGTATTTCATTGGTTGATTGATTCGTTTCCTACGGCTTATCAACCCTCTGCAGGTTATTTAAAGCCAGAAAACATTTTAGATTGTAAGACAGTTTTTAAGATAATAATGGTTTAGGGATACAACTCCTACTAATTAACCCATAGCTAGGGGAGAAGAGGTGGATTTATATCTTTCCCAAGAGTATTTGTGCATAAGTAAATATAACGATCCCTACTGGAATTAGAACTTGGCTCTCTGATTAACAATTCTGTGGCGTTATTTCTTACACCACCTGCACATCCAAGTATGCAGAACCTGGTATTTCCAAGTGGCCACCCAGCTAGGTACTGACCAGGCTCGATGTTGCTTAACCTCTGAAAGGACTTCATCAAACTAAAGATATGTTTTTAATAATGGGATTATATTTGTGTTAGTTGGCGTAGAAAAGAAGTAAAAACCCGAGTGTCGGTTAAAATGATGTAATTAATGATGTACCAAGAATAAATGCTGAAATTATGGAAACGCTGGAATTTTTTTTTTTTTAGATTAGCTTCTTTTTTTTTTTGTTACTTTTAGCTTAAGTATCCCATATTGTGGTAACAGAAGATCTTCTGTTGTAAGAACTTGGACGCAAATTTACTGTGAATGATTTAGTAGTCAAAACACTTTTTTCTTTTCTTTTTTTTTTGTTAAGCATTTCACCCCAAGCAAGGCAGGAAGCCACTAGGACGCAAGGGGTTACAGAAGAGTTGGAGCAAGATCAGATAGGAGTGATAGAGGAAAGGATGAGGAGAAGGATAGATGATAGATCAAGGCAACTGGAGATGTCGATTGACATTATATTTGAATAGTTAGAGATTATAGCTCTCAGGGAAACTGGAATAGAGAAGGGAGTTCCACAGGCGATAGGTGCGAGACATGAAGCTAATGGAGTAGAAGAGATGGCTACATTTAGGAGTTTCGACAGTGAAGGGGTGAGAGCGGGATGCCAGCCTCGTAGGGCGCTTGAACTCATGAAGTCTGGGAACCAGTGAATGCAGCTCCTCGGGGCAATTGCCATGAAAGTATTTGTAAAAAAGACAGAGAGAGGCGACGGCGCGTCTGTGAGAGAGCGACTGTAGACGAGATGCCAGAACAGGGCCAATTATATTGCATATCCGCCTCTGGAGCTTATCAAGAACCCCGAGGCAAACAGAAGGGGCTCCAGACCATATATGGCAGCAATACTCCATGTAAGGGCGAATTGTTGATTTGTAGATCTGGAGGATCGATTCCGGGGAGAAAAATTTCCTGGCGCAGCACAGGGAGCCAACTTTTTTCTATACATTTTCGCCTTAGTAAATTTCTTTCTCTTCTAATTAAAGTATTATCTATAAATCAAAATTATGGTCAGATTCAATTTGGAACATTTATTCATTACACCACCTTCATATCCAAGATTACATCACTTGGTATTCCCAAACGGTCACTCATCTAGGTACTGACCAGTCTCGACATTGCTTAACTTTGGCGATCAGACCAGAACCGGTGTTTCAGCATGATATGGCCGTAAGTGTACAGTTCCCAGGAAGGTAGCAGCTTAATACAGGGAGAATATAATTGCTTTCGATAAAGATTAGGCTGAAGATGTTTCTATTCCCTAATTAACCTAGTGAAACGAAACAGATGTTATAAAAAGTGTGTCTCTCTCTCTCTCTCTCTCTCTCTATCTCTGTGTGCGTGTGTGTGTGTGTGTGTGTGTGTGTGTGTGTGTGTGTGTGTGTGTGTGTGTGTGTGTGTGTGTGCATCTCGTCTACAAATTTTCATTTGGAGATCTGCATTCCTTTTGATTCACAATTATAAAATATAAAATTTATATATAGGATAAATAAACTCTACTCTATCACATAGGTTAACCTGCCACATCATTGTGTTGAAATCCATCCTTACATTAATAAACATTTATAATTTGACAAGAAGATCGGCATCAACATAAGATATAGACTTGCAAATGCAACAGGTAAAAATGCAAGATTATTTACGCGGAAGTGAAACCCCAATGAAACACATCTCCAATTTCTCACTTTCATTACACCACCCACACATCCAAGCTTACAGTACCTGGCAGTCGCTGATCTAGGTACTGACCAGGCCCGACGTTGCTTAACTTCTGTTTCAAAGTGATCTGGCCGTCAATATGACAGCGTCACCTTATTGTTCTCTTAGGCGTTCTTACTTGTAACGTCTATTGGTAATAATAACATCCATAGTGTTTTTTCTTCAATATTTTTTAATATTGAAAGTAGCACCAAGACATCTAATTCTTTTATGAGCAAAGAATAATCTAGACTGCAGAACAAATTCGATCGATACTCAAAAACGGTGAGATTATATACGTAATTCCTCACAAGACAATTTCCCCGAAATTATATTAATCTATCTTTACTGGAAATTTCTTGATATCTTGTAAAACATCTCGATGAACCGACACACTGACTATAATTCCAGTTTTAAAGTCTGGAAAATTTCTAACTTCTCGACTGGCTTGACGTCTTTACACTTACCTGGCAGAGGAAATTTTTCCTGGTGTCGGCTTTTGTTTGATCATCTCTCAGTTTCGCCTCTGTGTTCGGGCAGAGTGCGACTCTGTTGCGGTTCTGTCAGGGAACAGAAGCGCAACTGGGGAAAATAAATCTCTGATGTTCGTAGTCCTTGGGAACAGCTGCACCCTCTGATAGCCCTAGAGATGAGGGATCGGTGCTCGCACCGACGCAAGCGCAACCGACAGTCGTGTGGGGTTGGAGAATTTTTGTCCTTAGCCCGAGAGTATGCGCTCGGGTTCCCGATTTTAAACACGACGTTGTTTCACAACTCGTCTGCAATGGGGCGACAAGGTAAATATACCTAACTCGCACATACCGGGTAAGGTTTTATCATCTCTCGGTTTCGACTCAAATGTGACTCTGTCCGCGGAGAGAGACACCGCTGAGGAAAATACTGCGAGGTGCCTGGTCCCGGAGAACAGCTGCACTCCCCCACTGCACCAAGGAGGGAAGATCAGTAGTCATACCAATGCCAGCAATTTTTGTCTTTGACTCGTATGTACGCGCTCCTGTTCCCCCCATTAAACGCGACCTTGAGTCGTATTCCGTCGCGGAGACAAGAGTGTATATACGTTCCTGCAACAGGAGTTAACCATTAACCAATGATGATTTTACTGAGGCGTTTTTAACGTCCCTGTGCTGTGAGGTACTGATCCTCCTCATTTTAGATGGGAGAATTTACTGAGCCCCGGGGATTCCAAACCCTCTGCAGTACCTTCCCACCGCACTAGAAGGGTTAGGTCGGTGTAAAACTGATGCCAGCGTGACAGCGTGGGGGATGGGCAAAACAACAATTTTTGTCCTTGAACATATGCATAAATATGCGGATGGCGCTCTCCACGTTAAAACAACCTTGCGTCACATCTATCCGGGTAAATATACCTGGCTTGATGTCTTTGAATTTACTGCAGTCAGCAAGAGAGTCTGCAAATGGAGGACAAATCCTGATTTTTTGTTGTTACTGAAGACGTTATAATGTAAACCCCCGTCAAAAAAAGGCCAACTTCCACGTTCAAAAAATACCAGTATTTAGTCGAAAGATTTTTTTCACTATATTGACAACGCCCAGATCTTACTAAAGCTAGTCTAAAGTACTTGAAGAAAACAAAAAAAAAAACAAAAAAAAAAACATCGAGAACTTTGGACAGTTTATCTATAATTCCCATCCGGATATACAGCATCTCATTTAGAAATTGAAAAAATATATAATAAAAATTAAATACACTTTGTACGCTGTTTGGATCAAGTACTTCTGCCTAAATACACACACACAAACACGGACATACACACACACACACACACACACACACACACACACACATATATATATATATATATATATATATATATATATATATATCAGAGTATAGGATTGGTGTATATGGAATAAATTCCAATAAACAAAAAATACTATTCTTAAAAGAATGCTCAATACAAAGTAGAGCAAATATAATTTATTAGAAAATTATAACATAAATATGTTATAAAATCACTACAAAAAGCCGGGTTTTTTCAACACTTCTGGTGTCTTATCAAGTGTTGGTGTTGAATGCAGAATAAAGAGCTTTTCCTTTATTCTGTTATAATTTTCGAATAAATTATATTTATAAGAAAATTGTAAAACCAAAAAAAGAAAAAAAAAAGAAAAGGAAAGAAATTGAAAGCTGCTCCACCCCGGCGCCGCCATAATGGAACTAGGATCTGAACCTGCGCCGATATCTGTCTATATCTCTGAGATGAGGTATCATGATTATTTACATTATTTACATTATTCGGACTGTTATCCTCATCTTCGTTGCCATATTCACAACGTTTCGGCTGTTGTACGCTCCGGCCTTCTTTAAGTGGCTGGAATTCCGAACCGTACTCTTTATGGAAAATACGAAAACTTAAGGAATTAACACATATGCTAGGCCACAAAATCTTCTGAGCCGACCAAGCATAGAAACGAATACAATATGGGAGATTTAAGAAAAATTAAAGGAGCACTCAAACAGAACTCTCACAGCACCAGCAAAGAGGTTTTAAAGCAAGATGGCGTTGAAGAAGTATCGAAAGCAACACGAAATCGCATCCTCCATAGTATGGCAAAACAACGTTCTCCAATTTCATTCCCTCCATTGAGCGAAATGAATCGCCTGAAGAGGTTAGAATGGGTAAACAATTACTTAAAAATTGGTTTCTAAAAAGTAATTTGGGCGGATGAAGCCCGATCTACATTAGACGGTCCTGATGGTTGGAAAAGAGGTTGAGTCATTCAAGGTGGAACTCCTCGCTTGCGTTTTAAACGCCAACAAGGCGGTGAGTGAGTGATGTTCTGGGCTGGAATTTGTGGCTCGACATATTGGACTATTTCTTGTTCCAGAAGGACTCAAACTGAATTCAGCTAATTATTGCCAATTTTTAAAAGAAACTTTCGTACCCTGGTTGAATTCACAAAATGACGAGTTCCGTAGTAATCTTGTTTATCAGCAAGATAATCCCACCCCCAGTCATGCGACGCGCTTCACGAAAGAGTGGTTAGCAGATCAAGGTTTTACAGGTGACAAGATTATGGTATGGCCACCACAAAGTCCGGATTTAAACCCTACTGAGAAAATTCGCGCCATGATAAAGCGTCGAGTTAATAAAAATGGACGGTAATTTTTTTCCTGTGGAAGTGTATTTTGGATGTTTGTTCTAAAATTACAGCCAGCGAAGTTAGGAAACTCACTTCATCAATCGATAAACAACTCATTGAGCTTCTGAAGAATGATGGTCAAAAAATTAAATATTAATCTGCTCCTTATGTTTTCATACATTGATATCAAACAAAGCCATACCAACTTTTATTGGTATATAATACATAATACACCTTTTCATTATTTTGTACAATTGATTTGAACAGGACCAATTTTTGCATTGAAATTAAAGTCGCCAAAAACATTTGAGTCGCTATTATTTCATTAATAAAAAAAAATTCACGAATAAAGCTAATTTTCATAATTTATTCTAAGATGTAATATTTTGGGTATTAGGTGAGCAGCAGGGAATTAAAATATTCACCTTTTGTCCATATTATTATTATTTTGAGTCGCACTGTATATATATATATATATATATATATATATATATATATATATATATATATATCCAAGTATATAATTGGTATATATGGAATGAATTCAATAACCAACAATTACTATTCTTAAAAGAGTGCTCAATACAAAGTAGAGCAGATATAATTACTATTTATAAAAATTATAACATAAGTATGTTATAAAATCACTAAAAAAGCCATTTTGTTTCATTTATTTTATAGTGTCTTATCAAGTGATGATGTTGAAGATAAAATAAATTTTTTATTTAAACAACATAATTTATAAAACACCAGTGATTTTATAACATACTTATGTTATAATTTTTATAAATAATATATATATATATATATATATATATATATATATATATACGTCCTTATTTATTATATGCTTATGAATTTAATGTTAATTGTTTGGGCCGCAGCATTTAATGAAAATTTTGATGGAAAAACTGACCGTGAACATCTCAAGGCATTCCCAAAGAATAGATATTTTGTTTCTTATCTTTGCTTTTAAAGTAATATATATATATGTATATATATATATATATATATATATAGATAGATAGATAGATAGATAGATAGATAGATAGATAGATAGATAGATATATGTGTGCGTGTGTGCGTGTGTGTGTGTGTTGTGATATCTTTTAAGGACTTTGTAATTATGTCAATATACCGTATTAGCGCCATTTTGTATGTGAATGCTTGTGTGTGCATTTGAGACGTGGGTAAAATTTCTTGGTAAAACGTCGAGAATGATTTAAAATAGTTTTATCTTGTTGAGTAAAATGCCTGGTAGGAGCCGTGATTTGACTCAGAATGTCTGGTTATACTGCCTTGGAATAATTAAAAATTAAAAAGAGGTAAAAAAAAAAAAAATCTTTAGCG